GCGTGAAGCCTTCGGCCTGAGTCTGACTCTCAAGGCTGCTTTGGTGGCTCCCGACCTTCATGGACCTTACTTTCTTCCTACACAAGGACAGTAATGACATCTCTGTTCACTGCCGGGCGCCAGGGGCCACGAGTGCCTTACCATCCCTCTTTCTCCTCACTCTGAGCCCCAGGAGATAAGTACTTGTATCCCCATCTTACAGACAAGGAGACTGAGGTTCAGAGAGGCAGACAGTAAGTGTTCCACCTGCTCTTGGAGGTCGGCTTCCCCGGAGCTCTCCCCCCACCCGCCCTGCTGGGTCAGGATGAGGACGCTGTGGCTTTCGGGGGCTTTGTGGCCCCGGTTCTAGAAGGTGGTGTGGCCTGGCAACACTGCTGTGCTGATGTTGGTGGCCTCCACCCCCCAACTCTACACACGCGCTCCCTCCAACAAGAGCACATTGTGTCCCGCGTCTCCCACCCAGGCTCCTTGAAATGCGCGTCCCTCTGCCAACAGACCATCAGGAGGAGAGAAAACAGCAAAATGGAGGCTTTGTTCCTGAGGGTTTGGAGCGAGCTCAGGGAACGTGGGAGGGAGAGGCCTGGGGCCGTGCTTGGCCACCACAAATAAGTTGTGCAGGAAACGTCCCTTGGTTTTCCTCAGCTCTGAGGGGCAGGCGGCAGGGAGCGCGACCTGGGGGCCCGAAGTCCCCGGCCCATGGCAGCCCCTCGGGAGGAGCCGGGAGGAGGAGGGTCCCGTCCCAGGCAGGAGCACCCACAGCGGCACACTCACCCCAGTTGGGACGGCTGTCCCCTTGGCCTGTGTGACGTCTGCATTCCCTTCCATGACTTGTCCCACTGTCAGGACGCTGGCTTTGGAGCAGAGAAACCTGAGCCCGAGGCAGGTCCCCTCGCCGGGAGCAGAGCTGAACTTGAACACCAGCTACGACGCCCCTGACCACCTCTGAGCCCTGGCCGTCGCTGTCCCCTCTGGCCTCAGTGTGCTCCTCTGTAAACTGGGGCCCATGGGGACGCTCCTGACAGGGCTGGTGTGGGACTAGAGGTGACGCTGCCGGAGGGTGCGGCCGGGCCATGCGACCTGCCGTCGTCATCTGCCAGCTTTGACCTCCGTCCGCCCCTCAGCCCGGCCAGGGGGCCTCCAGAGCCATCTCTGGGTGGCACCTTTGCTTGGCAGTCACGCCCGGGGTGGCACCTGGGGGCAGGTTTTGCTGACCAGGGAGCCAGCACTTGGCTTGGCTCAGTGTCCCCGGAGCCCCCAGGCTGACCCCCGCTTCCTCCCACCGCCGGGCGCCCAGGAGCGGGACGGCCCATCTCTGCACATGGAAGAGATTAGTCCCTGTGGCCGCAGATGGCTGGAACACTCTGTCCCCGCGCTGGGATCGAGCGGCCCCTGCGATGTGTCAGGTGCCAGCCCGTCGGCCGGAAGCCACAGCCCACTTGAGCCACTGAGTGCCTGGCTGGGGACCCCTCAGGGTGGCGGGAGGGCAAGCTGGGCGTGGGTTGCTTGGGGTTTCATGGCCCCTCGGTCGCCTGCTTCCTGCCCCCCCACACTGGCCAAGCGCAGTGATGGTCAGCCCTCAGGTCCCTCCACCATGTACCCTCTGTATCCTGTGGTCACCTGCCTGTCCCCACATGGCTAAGTTCCAGCATCCTTCAATCCCGTGTCCCCAGCGCCCAGCCGTGGGTACAGGGCTGCCCCCGGGACGGGCTTGGCCTGGGGCTGGACCCCAGCCTGCTCAGGGCGGGCAAGGCCTTCCCCCCAGTGGCTGTCCCCGGGGAATGGGCTCTGACTCCCCGCTCCTCCTCGTGGGCCGCCCGAGGTGGAAACCCGAGAAGGCAGCACACAGTCGCTCAGTCCCCGTGCTGAGCAGGGGACAAGGGCGCCGTCGATTTTAGCTCAGGGCACGCGATGCATCAAGGGACCCCTCAGACAGCTGGGGACAGGAGGGACCATCTGGCCCCCAGAGCCTCCTGTGGGGGCTGAGCAGTTGCTCCGTCCCTTTGCTCTGGCACTGCGGCTGCTGCCGGGCCACTCGGCCACACTGCCACAGGCTTGGCCCCGCCAGGAGCCAACAGTCCCCACTGACCTAGACAGGTCCCGACCGGCCAGCCCCATGGCAGCCCTCACATCCTAGTCCCATGGTGACACCAAAGCTGAGGCCCAGATGGCGGACAGCACGAGTGGCAGGTCTCGCTGTCATCGAGGAGCTGACTCTGGACTGCAGCCGCACCTGGGGGGACAAGAGGAGAGCAGTCTCCCGGGAGCCACGGAATCGGCCGAGCTCCGCCCTGATGCAGAATCTCAAAGTAGTTGAAGCAAAAAGAGGGATTTAATAACAAATCCCGATTGTAGCCTGATGATACTCCAGGGCAAGGATAGAGCCAAGACTGGAGATGCTGTGTCCTGTCAGAGGCAGGGAGGCTGGGGAGGAGGCCAAGAGGAGCCAGGGCTCCAGTTGGGACAGGAGGACCAGTCTCAGCTGGGGTGTGGAGCATGCCACCCCTGCTTGGGCTCCACTGGAAACCAGTCCTTCCCCAGGTAGGGTGAGCTCTGCAGGCAGATTTCCAGGCCCCTGCGGTGCCCATCTGGGCAGCCAGAGAATCAGTTTTGTAGCATTCATTGGCCCAGACTGCTACCAACTGTCACTCAGCCTAGGTTTGAATCCTTGCCTTCCCATGCACTTGCTGTGTGACCTGCCTCCCCTCTCTGGGCCTCGGTCTCCTGTGCAAATGACGTACCTCGAAGGGCTGTCACCAGGATTACGCAGGACAGTGCTCACGTCTAGGTGCTGAAGTGACGACACTAGGAATCTCATTAATTGCTATTATTACCATCACCGGTTCAGGGTGAGTCACCTTCTCATGCTCCTCGTCATCGTCTCTTGGGAAATGGGGATCAGACAGCAGGTACCTTAGTGGAAGGGTAAGCCCCTTGGTGACAGCACAGCCCGGGGCAAATATGTCACTCTCCTCAGCTGAAAAAAATAGGGCCAACCTCAGTCCCTGTGGACGGGGCGTGATGTGAGCACTGGGAAGCGCTCCCGGCACACGGCGAGCTTCCAGTCAGTGTCGAGTAGATAAATATTATCACGTGTTTACGGTATTAAGTTGTGACAGATGGTGATTTTAATGTAGTGTAATGATGGAGCTTGCATTTTGTTATTATTTACTAGTAGCCATCCGACAGTCGGTGAGTAGGCGTGAGTGACGGCATTGTGATACCCTGAGGGTTAGTAATGATGGCTGTTGCCAGAACCACTGTTTCATTAGACACTTTCAGGAAAAATGATGGCATTTGCTTTGGGGGACAAAGGGACACCATTTTTTGGTGTGTGACAATAGTGGGCACCCCTTCTCCTAGAAGGTGTGGGTGTTACACGCTGCCCATCGGGGCGAGGCGTAAAACACCATCAGTGGGGACAAGTGCCCAGAGCCTCTCCAGGCTGGAGGCTGGCCCCTCTGCAGCCACCGCCTTCTCCCAGGATGACGGCGGGGTGTCCCCACCCTCCCAAGGTTCTGTAGCCCCAGAAGGCCACTGCAGCTGGCGTTTTGGTTTGGTAGCTCATGCTGGGAACCATCTGTGGGGGCCTTAGAGACCAGAGCTCTCGCTGCCCTGCGCATCCCGCCCGCCCGGAAGCAGCCGGCCGTGCCTGGAAAGCAGTTTGGAAAGGTCACCTAAGGGCAGAGTCCACAGTGACTGAAGGAGGCCCGCTAAGTGCCGACCGGAATGGGGAGCCCTTTTAATTGAAGACAGTCTTGCCCTGAAAGGGAAGAGGACACGGCCCGGGAGCAGTTTGATGGCAAGGTAATAAATGCCTTTGTGTTTATAAAGTCAGGCGCATCTAACTCATGTTTCAGGAGGGGGAAAAAAAAATCTCTGTTGGGGAGGGAGGGGGTGAGCTCAGGACACCAATCTGGGGGGGAACTTCAGGGAGAATAGGAGCTAAAACCATCAGTTAATGCACAAGGATTTGATGGGAGGGCCCCTGAGAGGCAGCTTCCTCTGCTGTGTGACCCAGGCAACTTCTCTGTGCCTGACTGTATAAAAGAGGCTGCTTCCAAGGTCGTAGGGCTGCTTCCAAGGTCGTCAGGATCAATGCCCTCAGTGGGCACAGTCCCCGGGCCATGGACCCTCCTGGTAGGAGCCGCTGCTTCTACCTTATTCAGACTCTCGGGATCCGTGGGTTTCTGCCCCGCTCACGGGAAAGCCCGTCCAGGCGGACCTGCACCGTCCCTCCTGGCCCGTCTCCTCCCAGGACCTGCCTCCCGCGGAGCCCGGAACCGACACCGGGGAGCTAAGGGCCGCCCACTCCTCCGTCCAACGGTGTTTCTCTGCGGTGCTGCCCCGGGTCTCCGCGGCAGGCTGGCTCCCCCACCTGCTCCACAGACACCCTGACCGCCCCTCTGGGACACACCTCCTCCCCAGGAGTCCCCCCAGCTCAGCAGGGACTGACCCAGCCCTCGCCCCCCTCCGCAGAGGTCACATGACTCCGATCCAGCCAATGAGTGCTGAGCATGGCCCTGGGGACCGTGATTGGGTCAGAGGTGGCACGTGGTCCACAGCTCTGCCAATCAGGACGATTCCTGGATTTTGGCGGGTACTCCCCGGGATCGGGGTGAGGTTGAAGGCCCTGGAAGACGTCTTTGCCAGCAGCTCGTGGGGAAGGCTGCCAGGGAATAAAGCCAACGTGGAGGACAGCAAAGCAGAGATAGGGAGAGACACTAAGGGAAGGGAAAGAACGAGGCCTCCTCTTTGCTTTTCTTCAAATCCCTTGATCAAGCTGTGCCTGAAGCCAGCGACTGCTGTGCTTTCCCATAAGCGAGTCAGTGAGCTCCCTTTTAATCTGAACCCATTTGAGCTGAATTTCCTGTGATGTGGATGGGAAAGGGTCCTGACTAATACATGCATCTTCCAGCGAAAGAGAGGATTTCGGTAAATCCTTGCCACAGAAAATTTGTCATTCTTTGCAACAGAAGCTTGCTATGAAAAAGCCTCACTGATCTGAGACATTGGGTTTTTATGTTTCTCTCTATTTGCAAGAGGCAGAGATGGGCAGCTAAAATGCCCATTCCTCTTCCCTTCCACAAGCTGTGCCCACCCTCTGAGTTCATCATGTTCCACCTGGTCCACTCACTATTGCTGTGACCTTGGACCAGTCTTTTTATCTCTCCAAGCTTGAGTTTCCTCATCTATAGTGGAATATTGTTGTTATATGTAAAGTTGAGAAGAGAGTAAAATAACATCATGTCTGTTCAGCCTGGGGACAGTACTGGCACATACTGAGTGCCCATGTGTGGCTAGTGTAGTGCTAAGACTTGTAGAGACGCACAGGTGGTGTGATATGCCCAGCAGGGAATCTAAGAAATCTTCATGGAGGAGCGAGGGTTTGGTCTGGCCTTTCAAGGATCTATCCAAATTGTAAGGCACAGTGGGTAGTGAGGGCTTCCTGTGTGCATTGGGCATAAGTGCAAGTCATGAATAGTAATAGCTAGCACTTACTGAGCATTTTCTGTGTGCCAGTTTTTGTTCTCAGTGCCTCTTGTCCATCAGCTTGTGACAGAGTCCTGACAGCCCTCGAGGTTGGTGTCCCCTTAAAAAGGAACAGTTTCACAGATTAAAAACAGAAGCACTGAGAGGCTCAGTCATCTGCCCACGATCACGTTGGATCTGAGCAGGAGCCAGTTTCAGGCAGTGTCCAGACCCGAAGCCCACGTTCCTGACCACTCTGCCGTTGCTACGGTCGCTAATAAAAAGAAAATGATGGTAAAAACACAGCAGCTGCTTTGGCCGTGTAGCTGGGGGCACAGACTCAAGCCCTGAGTGAGGACAAGAAAAGACAGCTGGGCCCAGAGGTGTGTACCCGTAGTCCCTGCTGCTCTGGAGGCTGAGCAGAGAGGCCAGCCTCGGCAGCAGAGCACCACCCCATCTCAGAAAGGAAGAAAAGACCCAAAGAGAAGCCACAAAGGTCACGTCCAGCCAGGCCTCCTGTCCCCAAGGGCTGAAGACTGTGTTCTGTGAGGGTGGCCAGGACCCAGCCAGGACTCTAGGAGGGGACGGCCATGGCTGCTGAAGGACAGGTGGGGAGAGCCCCAGGCAGCTGGTGGCATCGGGGACAGTGGCCAGCTGTCTCGCTGACCAGGCTGAGCACCCGGGCTCCTCACGGCAGAGACCCTGACAGCTGTTGCAGCAGAGCGGTTCCTGTTGGCCCCAGGCGACCTGCGGGGAGGAGCGGGTGACCCCGGGGTGAAAGGTCTGCCTGCAGCCCCTCGCCTCCCCACCCCATCTGTCCCACCACCTGGAGCTGCCATGTGGGCTCTGCCCTTTGGAATAAATGGCCAAACGGCCACAGGAGGCCGCGGGGCTGAGCGAGGCATCCCGTCCTTACACCCAGGGGACAGTGGGAAGAGCTGCGCCCTGAGATCCCACCGACCCAGGCTCACATCCCGTCACGTGTATCGGCTATAAAATGGGCACGTGGGCCTCCACAGAGGGCCCGCAGGACCTGGGGAGATGCACCAGGCTGTCCCCAAGGCTGGCAGGGGTGGGCCCAGCCAGGGCAGAAGCGAGCTCCTCGGGCTTGCCCCTCCTAACTTGGGGGCTTTGAGCTGCCTCTCTAATTTTGGGGAGCTCCGTTTCCAAATCTGTAAAATAGGGGGGATAATATCTACCTGTCAGACAGTGAGAGATTAAACGCCTTCCTGCGTGTGAGGTCCCCAGGCCTCAGCTAGCCCCGTCAGGAGGGGCGGGTTAGCGGAGGAGCTAAGCACCCAGGCTCTGCCACTCCCCAGCTGTGTGGCCTTGGGCAAGTTCCTTCCCTCTCTGTGCCTCAGTTTCCTCATTTGTATCCTGGAGATCGTCTCGGCCCCTCCTGCAGAAGTTTGCCCTAAAGATTAGAAGAAGGTTAGAAGGCCTGGGAGCTCAGCGGGAGGAGCGGGCCTGATCCAGGCTGCTCTCCAAGTCCAGGAGTGCTGGTGACTAGTGAGTGATCGTCTCCAGGTTCTGATTCGTGACATTCTCTCTGTACAAATGCGCCTCCACACCAAGGAGGGGGCGGCGGGCCATCTGAGAAAGTCCCGCTTTACACCAGAGAAGCCCTCCCCGTGGAAAGGCAGCGGGCGGGCGGAGGGGACAGGAGGGGACAAGAGGGGCGTCTTCAGGAAGCCGCGTGCAGAAGCAGCCTCTCCAGGGCCTCCAGGGGCCTCCAAGGTGTGACTCGCCCTCAGGGTCAGGCGTGAGAGGGCCACCGCCAGGCTCTGCAGTGAGACCCAGTGGGTCTGTGCCCCTCGCCAGCGCTGGCATGTGACTGAGCAGGCGAGCCTGTCCACGCCAGCACGCGCTCTGTCTGGTGAGGATACGGTGCACTTGCCGCTTGCAGCACCTCGGAGCTCATCCTCGGGGACTGCGGTTCCAGCCGGGAGCCACTCTGCTCCTGGGCCAGGGTTGGCCGTGTCTGCAGACTCTCTGGCTGCCACACGGGCACCCCAGGACCAGAGGCCAGGGGTGCTGCTCCACACAGAGCCACCCAGCCCGGGTGGCAGCAGCGTCAACAAAGATGCTGAGGTGCAGCAGGCCTTCGCCCAACAGTGCGTGTGTTTGTTGAATGACTGAAGGAGCGTGGGCTTCCCCCTCGGCTTCTGGCCTGGAGAGAATGCAGACAACCTCAGACTGGTCACGAGGCTTAATGAAAAAACCACCCAAGTGCCCAGAGGCCCGAGCGGTGGCCCTTTCGGGGACCCTGGCACTGTCATCTGCTGTCGAATGACGAGACAGGGAGGGGTACTGGGAGGCCCAAGCCTGGAGCTTGGGCAGGAGGACTCACCCAGGACTGTGCTCAGGGCAGGATGGCAGCTCAGACCAAGGGGGTGCAGGGTGCTCAGAGGAGAGCTCGGCCCGTCAGCCGCCAGCGCCCCTCCCCGCCGACGCCCCGAGCTGGAAGAATCGTGGGGGCAACTGAACCCACGTGTCATGGCCTCATTGTGACAAAGTCATCAAAATGCCGCTCCATAAAGGGTCCTCCCAAGGCGGGAAGCCCGGCCATGCTTTGGTGACCTCTTCCTGTGCCTGTGGTCTCGTTCTGTCCCCTCCTCCCTCCCCTGCTCGTTCTCAGGGAGAAGATACCTTCCAAGTGCGGGGACCGGCTGGGGCCGGAGGTGCCCCCGCTCCCGGGGTTGGCAGCTCTGGGGTCCGACTAAGACCCCCTGGTCCTGCCCTCAGGCTGTCTCTGGGCAGCCCCAGGAACGGCTGAGGCAGGGAGGCAGCAGCTCCTCTGGACGGAGTGGGTGTGGGGTCCAGGGGCCCTGGTAGGGCAAGGCTGAGGCCGGGCGCGATGTCCACGGGCGCCGGGTGGTGGAGGGCTCTCGGTGCTGAGCAGGTTGGTGGGCTCCTGGGCACTGCTTTTCCTGGCACTGGGAAGAGCCAAGGGGCCAGTAGGGTTGGGACGAGGGGTGGGGGCGCGCCATGTCCCTGCGCCTCGGGGCCTGCTGACCCGGGCACCTTCATCTCCAGGATGGGGAGGAAATCAGCAGCCGCTCCACCGGCGCCCGGAGGATCCCACGAGCTCTCTGCCATAGGCGCCCTCCCGGCAGGACCGGCACATGGAGAGTTCCAGAAGCCCTGTGAGGCGTGGTTCTCAGGTCTCCTCTCCCAGGCCTCCTGCGGGCGGGGAAGAGGTGCCAGTGGACAAGCAAAGCCGGGACAGGGCGCGGGCCCTCCGGGTCGTCTGGCAGCTCCCTGGGTTCCCGAGAGCAGTCCTGCAGCTGGCGCAGGAAGCTGCCCGCCTCGCTGGGTGGCCGCGGCCTCTCTGCCCTTGGCTTGCCCTTGGCTTCCTCGTCTGTACGATGGGCCGCTGCGGCCGCCTTGCAGGCGCCCGGGTGCAGCGAGCTCTTCTAGAGAAGCACTTCCACCTCCCGAGCCGCTGAGCCGGGGCTGCTTTGCCCTTTCCTTTGGCAGCGCCAGGGATGGGACCAGGGCCTTGGCAGGTGGGCGGGGTGAGTGTCCACCACTGGGCCCCAGCCCCAGCCCCAGGCGCCCTGTTTTTAGCCAATTCCAGGACACCCCGGGGCGCTGAGCGGCTCCAGGCCCACAGCGGCGTCCCTGCCCGTGGAGGGTCATCCTGCTCGCGCCCCCTGTGCGCGGCGCTGCCGTCAGCTCTGCAGACCTCTCTGCCCTCAGCTGCACAGGGTGGAGGAGCCGGGCCAGCCCCCCAGGAGGCGACGGTGCAGGAGATGCTGAGCTGGCTCCTCTGGGCACTTGGGGTCCGAGTGCTGGGACGAGGCCATACGCCAACTCGGGCAGCTCTAAGCACCCGACCCTCAAAGACAGTTGGGGGCCTCAGAATCTGACCCCCCAAATGGGAGCTGGAGTCTCGGTGGCCGACGCCGTCCTCCCCCAGGGCCTGCTCACATCCCAGCCCCCTTTCCCTCTGGGCCTCCCCCATGGGGTTCCTGAAGGACCCCAGAGCCCTGCCAGGCCCGGCCGACAGCAGGGGGCTGCCCTCCCTGTTCCTGAGCTCAAACCCTGGAGGCCCTGCCCCGAGACGGGTGCGTGGCTTTGTGTTTTATTACTATTTATTGTTCTTGTTATTTTAACATTTCTGGAGTCGTCTTAGCTGTGAACTCACTTCTCGAGCGTCACTGCGGTCAACATCTCTCCAGGGTGTGGGGCCAGGGGTTACTTTGATTCTTTTTTTGGCTTTTGCCCTATTTACTTTATTAAAAATATCTTTCTGCTTGGGGCTCCTTTGTCCTCAGGGCTTTTCTGGACGTGGCCCGTGTCCACCCTCGGCCGTTAAACACCATTCTTTGAACGAGAGCCTGGGAATGAGTAAGGGCGGTAGGCCAGGGCCGGCCTACAGGGCTTCAGGGGCCAGGGAGCGAGGATTCTAGGCTTTGGGGACTGATGGCCTCTGTCATACCTACCCAACTCTGCGGTCATCACATGTCCATGTCCAAGCAGCCACAGACAACACATAAACAAATAAAACTTTATTTGTGAAGACAGACAGCAGCTGGAATTTAGCCCAGAGGCCCTGGTTTGCTACCCCCCCCCACACACTCAATGGGAACTCTCTTTAGTCCTTGGGTCTAAATGCCAGTCCTCCTTCCTGCTGCTCCAACCTGTTTATGCTCCTTCCTGTCCTCTCCTGGAGCAGGGTCGCCAAACTGAGCCCCACAGTCAAATCTGGCCAGTTGCCTGTTGTGTAAATAAAGTTTTATTGACACACGGCCCTGCCCTTGCCCTTCTGCCTCTTCTAGGCTCCCTTTCCCTCTACAATGAAGAATGGAGTTGTTATCACAGAGACTTCCTGGCCCCCGCAGCCTAAAATGTTTACCGTGCAGCTCTTTACACAATGCATTTGCTGACCCCTGTCCTTGAGAGCTCCGGAGTGGCTGGCTGAGAGGCAGCTTTTTAAAAATGTACTCCACACCCTTGAAACCAGGCCTCCACACGCGGCTTCTGAGACCCTCCTCCCAAGTCTGCTTGTTTAGTCTTTCAGATCTGTTCAGTGTTATTCTCTGGACTCTTTAAGTTTTTCCAAATTCTAGACAAGTGTTGCTATGCAGTTTTAGATCATGATCCTCAGTGAGAAACACATTTTATATCACACTCTCAAAAAAACTGCATCCACCCCCCCATAATACATGTATAAAAGCAGGTTTCCAGAAACGACCCTCATCCTTACCACCAGAGACAAGCACTCATGTTTTCCACTTATATCAGTCAGGATCAGTTTGATGATGCTGCAGTAACAAATAACCCCAAATTTGAGTGACTTGACACAATAGACAGTTACCTCTTGTTCCTGCTCCATGTCCCTCCTGGGTCATCCAGGGACCCTGAAGGTACAGAACATCACACACTCGCTCTCCAAGTACCTGTCCAGAGGAATACACACCATTTCCTTTACCACTTCTTTGACCAGTGGGAGTCCCGAGACATACTCTAAACTGGATGAAGTGCAGACCCACTGTGGACCCAGACAGCAAACCCAAAATATCTGGTGAACATGAAATATCACATGACTCTATGGCAGGAGGCATCCGACTTCTTCTGTAAAAGACCAGAGGGTAAATATATTTGACTCTGTGGGCTGCACGGTCTCTGTCAACGCCACTCACTCTGCCATAGACAACCTGAAAACAAACGAGCACTCTGGGTGCCAATAAAACTTTATCTATAAAGCGGGCAACAGGCTGGGTTTGTCCCAGGGGCTGTGGGTGGACAACCTGGTCTATTTCTTCCTCTTTTTTTTTCTTTTCCCTCCCTTCCTTCATGGTGGTGGTGCTGGGGATTGAACTCAGGGCTTCCTGGCAAGTGCTCTGCCACTGAGCCACATTCCCCCTTTATATTTTATTGGGAGACAAGCTGTCGCTAAGTTGCCAGGCTGGTCTTTAACTTGCCATCCTCCTGCCTCAGTCTACTTCAGTTCTTTAAAAAAACGCTGGTCACAGCCCACCACATGGACTTCACTGAGCCCTGGGGTGTGGCTCTGCAGTCTGGAGACCCTGGTGACTCCAGCGGCTGTGTCCTGCGTGCCCGGCACAGGCCCGGGCCTGATGAGCACCTCCTCCCAAGGTAACTGTGGGTTCTGAACGCACAGACCCGAGCGCACGCCCATCCGCAAAGAGCACTGTGATTTCATCCAAGTTGGAGATGTCACACCGTCACGCAGTGTTGAGATCCACACTCTGGAAGCCCAGCTCTTTACAGATCTTTGTTGGTTTGTTTATTTACTGGTGGGGGAGGAGCAGGGACTGAACCCAGGGCGCCTAACCACTGAGCCACATTCTGAGACCTTTTTTAATATTTTATTTAGAGACAGAGCCTCACTGAGATGCTTAGGGCCTCGCTAAATTGCTGAGGCTGACTTTGAACTTGCGATCCTCCTGCCTCAGCCTGCCCAGGGATTACAGGTGTGTGCCACCGTGCACGACTACATACCTGTTGTAGTCAGTCAGCTGCTTTATGTATATATATATAAAGCATTTGATTAAATTTCATTTAATTTTCTCAAAAGTTGCAGGAGGTGGAGACTAATTTTACTCCCATTGTACGGCTGAGGAAATGGCATCTTGAAGTCATGTGTCTGATCTTGGAGCTCACAGCTGGTAGAGAGGGGGCTGCAGCGGGGGCTTTGGGCTTGGCAGCAAGGGTGTGTAGCCTCAGGTTGTCCTACCCCCTGGTCAGGCCACCAGGGCCCCCCAAACACAAGGTCTTTAAACTTGAGCTGAGGTCACATTCTAAGGAGTCTGCTTAGAAAAGCACTATATTGTACATCGTGACCCAGATTCTTTTATGGAAAAATCTGACATTAATGGTGAGACAAAGAAACAGAGAGGTTTTAATGCCTTCGGAACTATCCTAAGTATGAGGCCAAGCTGGGCCAAACCTCTCACAATCAGGACATTCAGTTACAAGTGTCAGAAAATCCAGTTCAAACTGGTTCAAGTAAAAAGGACTGGTGGACTCAAGGAACTGAGAGTCTGGGGTTGGCATCAATCTCAGGTCTAGCTGGATCCAGGCTCCCCTAATGCAGAAAGGACTCCAGTTGCTTTCTGACTTCATTTTGTTCTCACTCTTCTGAAGTCATCCTCAGACTGCACACAGAGATGATGGTGGGG